TTACGGTTTTTATTTATAACAAAATGGCCCCAGATTCATGCTAATTTTCATAACAAAATTTAATTTGTTAAAAAGTAAAATATTTTAAGTGAACAAAGAAAGTCAGGTACACATTGCAACTCTACTTATAAACTACGAAAAGTGCCAAAAATATGTCAGAATATGCAAAATTAGACCAAAGTGCGTTTTAGTCACGCAGTGAGAAATATATAGTGAGAAATACTGCAAAATCAGTTATGAATTGTATATAGAATATAAATTATTTCATGAATGGTGATTATTTTTACTTTTTAACAGAACACAACACGTAGTAGTTAACAACGCATCATCTGATATAGCCTCGGTAACATCTGGTGTGCCGCAATGAACAGTCCTCGGACCAATACTCTTTTTAATCTATATAAATGACATCGCAGATAATATTACATCAGGTATACGTTTATTCGCTGATGATTGTGTGTTATATCGGCCAATAAGTAATCATAGTGATAACATAGCTCTTCAGGAAGATCTTAGTATACTTGAAAAATGGTCGGACATTTGGCAAATAAAATTTAATGTGAAAAAATGCCCTATAAGGCATTTTTCATCTTCTCCACATAAAAAGAAATATGACTACAAAATGAAAGGCGATAGCTTGGAAATAGTTAACAGGTATCCGTATTTGGGAGTTGAATTCAGTGATAATTTGAAATTTAACGATCATATCAATAATATCACGAAAAAAGTATGTTTCTGTTTGGGTAGGCCTACCAAACAGACAATAATGAGCTGTGATACAAAATTCATAGTTTACCTTAACAAGAACACTAAACATAATTTAAGTTAAAAAGAAAAAAAAAACTCGTGGGTGAACATTTAATATAAGAAAAAAATGCGTGTAATAATTTTAAAATCATGTCAGGTCAATGTTAAGGTCAATTTTTCTATTGGACAGAAGATAAACACGACCTAGTTTGATAGATAAGAAACGTCGTGACTTACTGTTAACCAGATCCGATGTGATTTGACACCTTAAAGGTAAATATCTTTAAATTGCACATTATATCAATTTCGATTTTATTTTATTAAATATAAACATATCTGTTTTATCTTTGTTTGTTCGTCTGTATGAATACTTATTTGTATTACCAGTATTCGAAGCGAAATAATGGTGTCAAAATAAACTGGTCCCTGCCAACTTAATAAAGTCAAACGCGAGTCATATCAGAATGTGTGTTCTTATATGTTACAAAGGTTTTCTTAAATAATTTCTTTTCACAAATCAAGCCGTGTTTGTGACACTATAGTATTACGCCGCTTTTCATGGAGTGGCACGAAAGTGGTTGCTTGAAAGTCTAAAGATTTTTGTCAAATATTAAAACTTCTATTTTAACACCATGAACACGTTATTCTTATCTACTTAAGCCGGTGCTATAGGGCGTAGACGGTGTTGTGCTCCTTCCACTGCCGGCAATCAACAGGCTTTTAAACAGCGTCTTCAATATTTTTAATTGTGCAATGTATGGCTTTCATTTTATTATTTTATTTTCACATCAGCATTGTTTGTGTCGTGAGGAGGCCGTAAAAGTCGCCATTGTTCATTCAATCATTGTTCATAATCTCTGATCCCCTCTAGTTATTTTCCTAGTTTAGCCAATTGTTTTCTCGTTTAAGAAAAAAATTCTTTTACTCAGGGTGTATTCGCCACTTTTTATGGATTGGCACGAAAGTGCCACATTGAAGGTTCTATTTAATGAGCATTATCGTATTAACACATTATGAAGAGATGCGTTTAAAGTAAAATATCACTTTGTGACAGGTGAGCTAAAAATGAAGCATACTTGACACATGGCATTGATAATTGATATTTGATGTTATTTAATATTGTAATGATGTTGAATTTCAGTATGAAAATGAAGAGCTAATTCATCAAGTTCTCACAAATAATGCTTATCTTATTTTATAAAGAAATAATGAAAGTGAATTATGTGAAAGTGTCTATATCTAAAATGATATTGGCCTGTACCTGTTCCAGTTGATGGCAAATAGTTGTCTATTGCAGTTTCTTGTGTGCTTCCTAAAATAAAAGTGCAGTTTTAAAATGTCATCCTATACAAATTTGCTTAAAATAATAAATAATGTAGATGTTTAGATCTCTGCCAGACATTGACTTTTTCACATTCCAGTTACTGGGACGGTAATTGTTAAATTTGGTGACTTTATAAATTATTTATGTAAAAAACATTTATGATTTAAAATCATCATTAGAAAGAATGTATGATATTTTAACTAATCTACATTTATTACGTTCTGTTACTATAGAGAAAAAGGTATACATTGCGAGAATCATAATGTCCTTATAATGTGCTAAAATCATTTCATAAAAGACATATTTCTTGTTAAAGGTCATGACCTTTAGATAACTCCCAGCTACTGAATCTTTTTTTTAGAAAAATTATATAACATGTAAATTATGACCTCTTGGGGCAGGGCCTATTTTGACCGAAAAGCTGTAATTTGAATAATCTTAATAAAGGTTCAGTAGATAATGCTTCATGCTAAATGCACTTGTAATTTTGAAGAAAAAGATTCTTTAAATTTCAACTACATATATATAAGGAAACATATTAACCCTGAAAAGGGGGCAAATTTTCCAGTGCCATAATATGAACAATCCTGGAAGAGGTCTATGCCTTGCGCAAAATATCTATGCTATAGGCCTTTTTCTTCTATAGATGAAATTATCGAAATTTCTTTCTATTATTTCTTTCACAGACAAACACACACACATACACACACATGTAATGCTAAATTGAGTAAGTTTGAAATAAAATAAAGGAAAGCAAACTTAATTTATCTGATGCTACCATTTCTGCCTGGTCTCCTCCAGCATACATGTTTATAGTTTCTATGTAAATATAAAATGGAACTTATTATATTATGAGCACTAATTTATTAACTTCATAGATGTTTTTTTTTGAATGCATACAGTGAAAATTAATTAAAGTAAGTAAAGTAAGTAATTTAAAACTTGAATTCATACAATTTTACATTCTATTTATAATATACACTAAAGAAATACAACTTTTTAATCAATATTAATACTCAATTGTTTTACTTGTAAAATTATTTATAAAGCAAGACCTTAAAGAATGTATGCTAAAATGTTAGGTTTTTATTTCTTTTATTGGTACATAATTTCATTAAGATATTTTCCTTACCACTTGATCCTCTGCTTTCCAAAGTGTCCACTCCGCCAGACACACCTTCCACAGAACATTTGGCCAGACGACTCACAATCTATTTTAATTAATAAAACAAGTTTTTTTGTAATAGAACAATTATATTCTATTTGATATCATAATGTACCATGAATATATGATGTGTTAGATTTACCATATATGTTTAATTCTGTTCAGGACATAAATTGATAATTTAATATTACTAATTTAGTTTGCAAGTATTTCTGACAGGCTTTAATAAACGCAGTTATAAAGTCAACATTGGCTTCATTGCTATCATTGTAATGTCATTTCTTTATCACAGCTAGGAAACCCTTTTATGTAAATTACCTTATCTGTCTTCCATTAAGTCAGACCCCTGCTGGGGACCTAGACTTTGAATTAATTGTTATTGTTATGACTTAAAATAGTAGTCTTGTTAAGGAAAATTCATATTTTCAGCTGATTTTTATTTCTAAAATAATGACTGCGATACTTACAACTTTCTCCCAAGACTTTAGGTCATCAGTGGGTCCAGTACACCACCTGTCATTCTTAGTTCTCTAAGCCTTGAGGCTTCCTTTTTTTGGTGGTACTGGACATGTCTAACCACTTTTTCTTTACCACCTCTAACCTGAGACATTGACTGCATTTATACTGAAATTAAGTAGTAATATTTACAACTATTATTAAATAGACACTAATTTATTAAAAAAAGATATTAAGTTATTAAACTGGAGAAAAATACTTTTTTTTAATGTCTTTAAAATTTGAGGGGTGAAGTGTCTTGCTACCATTTGAAGGAGTTAAAAGTCATGCAGTAAAATGGGTCAAGTGATTTTTTTTCAGTAGGCTTTTGATATTATCAAAAGACATAAACTTAAACCAATAACTCTCCTCAACTAAATGTACAACCCCTAAATAAAATCTTACATTTTCATAAATAAGAATTTATCGGTTGTCTATACATGTATATAGAATGTAAACAATGATTAACGAGGTCATGCGCACCAGCGTTAAAAATAGACATCTATATATAGAATATCAACAGGAGAGAAAATTAGGTCATATAAATACATGTCAAATTACCGCTCTGTAATGCTTTCCCAGCATTTTATTTTCTGGGCATTAGAAAGCCCTGGGGAAAATTTCCCTTTGATGGTCAAAAGATTTTCTGACACCGCCTGCGCCAGGGCGTCCAGTTCATCACTGGACCAGTTCGGATTTCTCTTTGTAGCGGCCATTATGAAACCGGAAACTAATATTGCGCAAGCGCACCGAAACCGAAAATACGTTGCTACGGAAGCTTTTTATCTAAGTGTATTTTGAACAAAATATCGTAAGATTACGATTGGTTTTGTGAAACTGACTTAAGATTTCACTTACGATTATCGTAAGTGAAAAACTTAGGATAAATCGTAAGATTTTTTGTGAAAATGTCTGCAGAAGTTTAAAACTATACACATGTTAAAATGTTGAGTTCTACTTTAAAATAGCCATTGTTAGGTGACATTAACGGAAGTATGTACTTTCTAGTGCTGTCCATAAACAGGAATAGTCAATAAATATATCTTTTATTCAATTAAGTCACTACTAAAAACATGTTATTTAAAAAAATGAAAAAGTAAAGAGATATAAAAATTGTTGCTAGCAGTTTTTTGTTATTGAATTCGAACTTTCGATATAAAAGCTTAGCATCAGATCCTGTTGTTCGTAAGCACAAAAGTTCATACAATATTTGGTTTTCATTTAAACAGATGATACGTATTATACGAGCATCAACTCTTACCGTACTGACATTGGTTGCTATGGTAATACCGATTGCAGAATGTGAAGGTAAACTCTGACTTTGTTCATATTTGCTTTAGACGTACACTTAAAAAAATATCGCCTACTACAAATGTATTACCAATTCTAACACGACTTGCATTTTTCCCTATTCACGGTGATAGGGCGATTACCACAACTTTTCCGCGCAACGTCAAAATATCTTACTTCTGTCCGAGACACCATATATTTCTGTGGTACAAAATGGACAGCAAGTCTGTAACCGAGACGAAAACAGCAGATAATTTGCTCAAAACAAGGTAAAATCATCATTTTTTCTTTTTCATCGAATGTGCCATTTAATTTGAAACTTATTTATCCTTACTACATGCAAAATGCTTCATTAATTAAGTCAGGATAGTGAAAACATTTAGGGCATACTGAAAAAAATCTTGCTTTGATTACGAAATATAACGTATTTCAGTTCATATAACTGGCCAAAATACAATATAAATATGTACATTGTTGTCGTATGAACAAGTTACAATACATAAATAACCCGTTTTTTGTATATTTGGTACGATTTTTATGTTTCCACGTGTGTATTTTAAGGCACCGCACAACTTTGTCAATCATAAGATTGGGGCACCGCATTCTTCCTCCTTAAAATCATCGCATTTTTCTGGGTTTTTTTAGCACCGTTTATTTTTGATATTAATGTTTGCTTTCAGAAAAAAAAGACGTTCAAACCTATGTCTGAACAAGCCAAAGCAACGTGCGAAATTTGCAAAGCTGCATATACTTCCAGAAGATACTGCAGCAACTGGAGAGCGTCCAACTAAGTCTTCTGATATCAGCAGTACGCCAATGGATCTGCGCCACCCTGTATTTCAGGACGATATGCTTAACGCACCACATTAGAAAAAGAATATGAAGTCAAACTTTCGCAAAAGATTGTTTAATAAAAGCACATTGGAGACCATGACTGAAGAGATTATGGAAATATTGCCCGGGTTCCTGCAAAAACTACACCATGAAAATTTATGTTATGACTTTTGCAACTTTATCAAATTAGTATGCAATAAGAAATTCCCATTAAAAAATATTTCATTCCTTTTTTTTTCTCGATGTTGTTAGATGATATAGTCTGCCAAGAACTTCAATCTTTCCATGTGGGGTTTATCAGTTTGAATAAGTTCGAAAAGGAAAAGACATCCTTATCTATATATAGATACCATTGCACTTATCTATAACTGGTAGTATTAACACAGATCAGACCTTCAGAAATTTTCCATAACAAAACGTATGATAACAGCAACATAACGTAACAGCAAGTAAACAATCTTTCATCAAATGAAACATATTTGTATGAAGATTGCATAATTCAAAAGAAGACGGTGGCCAGTATTTATCGGTCTAACGGAAAAAGAATGCGGTGTTTGAATTCAGTGTTGTACGGTGCTCCAATATTCGGGTCAGTAGGCCCTTTTTCAACATATATTCCCTGAAATTTACGATAGAAACACACAATTTTGTATAGAACTTGAACTTAACCATAATAAATATACGAGCTCGTTAGGTCATAGAACAAAGACATCGTCGTTATAACACACGTTTTTGTGACAGGTACGAGTCATGTTGAGGTACACACGATCTTTTGTAAACACTATTTCTTCGAAGTATGTGTTTTTTTGTGAATTGTATTGTGCTAGATTAAGGATAAATTGTCTCAAAAATTCGATGGAATACTTAAACAATTGAAATAATCTTGCAATGTCCAGCAGTAAGATATTTTGTAAGCTATAACCTGGAATTTGTTTATCCCGCCATTAATATTTTGTCCAGAAATATACGGTGTCTCGGTCAGAAGGATGGTATTTTGACGTTGCGCGGAAAAGTTGTGGTAATCGCCCTATTACCGTGCTATTGAACATAGAAGAACTGAAAGTGTGTGTTATCATGCTATAAAATCACTGTTTGAGGTTCTATGATTAGACGTGTGACGTAATCATTACACACGTGACGTAACCACTAAAATGTGATGCGCTGACAATAAGTACGGAAACAAATCAGGCGCAATTTAGCTAATTATCATGTACGGCAGCATTTATTTGTTGATGTCGTGTTAGAATCGTAATAATATATCCAAATCGGTGATTTTATTGCTTGATAACATCACTGTTTGTCGTTCGGATGCGCATCATTACATCACTCGGGCAACACCCTCGTGATATAATTCCTCGCATCCGAACTCCAAACAGTGATGTTATTGAACACTAAAATCACAGTTTGGGATATGTTATTTCTTAAATAATATTTATTACATGCTTTTCGGTGGTTTATAGAAATATATCAGTGAAATAAAACTGGTAATTTCACTGTTTGAAACAGTGAAATTACCACTTTGATAATTTCACTGTTTTGAATTTAAGCCCCTTACGTTGTTTCAGTGAAATACCAGCGTGCACAGTACTGGGTACCAACTTAATGACGTGACGTCGTAAATGACGTCACGTTGTATTATTTTTTGGCGTACTTTTCATTCAGTATTAGGTTTAATGTCTTTTTAAAACGTTTTTACATATAATAAAAAGAAAATTTGTTTAGTTTAGTGTAAGATCGAAATATATTTCACCTTGTGAACACCAAAAGTTCATATTTCACTCGTGGCTGCGCCACTCGTGAAATATACCTTTTGGTGCTAACTCGGTGAAATATATTCCGATCTTACCCTGAACTAAACAAATATCCTCTATATAATAGTAATATCAAAATATTTATTCTCATAAAGTGTGATACATCATGTACGTGGCACTAACAATAACTCTTTTGTAAAAAAGGACTAGCATTCCTCAGCTAGATCTAGTAAGTTTTAGTAGCACATAAATTTGTTTTACATCCTGTGTTATAAAATGAACGTCAACATATGAAACACAATCATACAATTTCACAGTACGATCAAACTGTACTTCTGGAATGACAACAGTTACAGTCATTACAAAAGAAGTGAAATAATACTCACTATGAAAATTGATGATTTGCAGACTCACTATGGCCAGTAAGAGAGTTCCGTGGTGTCTGGGTAGCTACAGTAGCAAACATTGATTGGCCTTCGTCCCGACATTTAACAACCAGCCAACAAAAACACGAACTCGATCTCATTGTTCAGACAGTACACAAACTGAATTTCAACGCCATCGTATTCCAGGTGCGGACGGCAGGGGATGCAATGTATAACTCTTCCCTAGATCCATGGAGCTATTATCTAACAGGTGAACATGATAAAAAAAATTGAGCTACACATGTATGTACTAGAATGATACATATTGCAATAGGATAAAGATACCTCTTTTCTTGGTAATTTTTATAAATAAATGCGCACTGTGATTAATGAGCATTCAGGGATATTTTGATAATATCAAAATTATAATCGCTACAGCAAGACATGAACAAAATGATATTTGTCAGTTCTTCACCTGTTTGAGAAGTGCTCTCTGTAGAATTACCTTTTATCTATGGTTTATACAGAATTTATTTTAGTTTGAGTGTGCAGCAAGCTATAAGCTTATAGACACACTTTTATCTGTATTCAAACCTAGTATAATCCATACATCAGAAAAGAATGTTTACAATTTCTACACATGAAAAGAAATTAACATTTTGCTCGGTATTCCGTTAGGGCCGTTGTGTCTTTGTATTGGCGATCTCTGATAAACCTCAAACGCCAAAGCGACGAAACAATACGTAATAGTTACCGTACGAGGAATAGGTCTGCATAGTATTTACAGACCCGGGTGGCGATTTGAAGACCGAGAGAGCGTAGCGATCGAGGTTTTTAAAAGGCCACCGGGTCTGTAAATACTATGCAGACCTATTCCGAGTGCGGTAACTATCTTACCTACATGCTCTTTTGTTTTTCTATCCATACATCAGTTTTTAGCTCAGTATTTATTAATATTACTCACAAGAAACATATTACTTATGTACTTTATCATGTTTAAGAAAGCATTCCAAAGCCAAGCAAAGATACCATCCGCTACGCTCTTGTAATTCATTCGTTCACAAATCAGGTGTTATTTGAATATTCTCGTGATTTTCGTGGGGTTTCATTAGGTAATGTACTTGTTGAGTTGAGTCACAGAAAATGAAAACAGAACTTGTCGAGTAGGGAAAGGTAAGATCATTATTTTGATATATGAATACATAACATATTAATAATATAAACAAATACTGAGGAAGATAAAAATGTTTTCTAATCATAAAAACAAAAAACGGAACACTTTATCTTTATATATAATAATTTTCATGGTAAATAGATGATCAGGCTATTTCTTATATAATTAAAATATACGATTTTTTCAAAGGAAAGTAAAAGACGGGGTTCTATGAATAAATATTAGTAATACATGTAGTAACACCGTTATGTAAGTTGGGTTTTGTTGTTGTTGTTTTTTATGATGGCTGATTTTGCATGTAAGCACGCGGTCTAGAATGGAAGCGCAAGTCGTATTCTTGTCTTGGTACTGGTATACAAAATCCAAATTGTAATGTAAAAATAACTGGGAAAAAATGAGAAAAACGGTCTTATACTTAAGATGAACTATACTCTCACTGAAAGTAATATTTTGGGAAAGAAAGATGCAGAAGTTGACTTTGATTCGATATGCACCAATAATATAATCGTCGTATATATCCTATAATGCAGAATTGTTAAAATAATGCAGGATTGTGCAAATTCAGACATAGTTGTGGAAATAAATACCGAAAACTAGTATCTTATGAAGCTATATAGTTCGGCAAATGTGTTAGGTATACCGAAAAGCAAACTTTAAAGAAAGGCTTAATGTGCGTTGTTATACTCATTAATATCGGCGAAACACAAAACTTCAACGCCAGAACAGTAGCCAGTTCGTTTTTCTCACAAATAATCTGGAATATAAGTTATGAGGGTACTTACAGCCGTATGCGCTAATTTATTTCGATTAATCTTTAAAATATATATTGACCCTTTTCCCTATTCAAAGTGGTCATCATTACCCCCCCCCCCCTCCCCCACAATTCGGCGTTATTTTACGGTAAATATTGTGTACTGTAATGCACGAGTTTTTCGACTTCACATATTTTCTATTGTATAGAGAACAATAGAACAATAACCGGTCGGTATCTATTTGCAGACCTGTTAACCGGTCGGTAAGTGATTTACTAGACCGCTTTTAACAAAGGAGCCGGTAGGTAAGTGAATTGATCACATATCGAGACGCTTTTAGGTATAAGTGAGATCGCTGATGCCACAGAACACTGTAAATTAACGGTTTTTTTTAAATCTTAAATATGGTATTCAATGAAAAACGTCCATTAAAATGTTATGAAAAGCGATAATATTGTAATCAATATAGTTATGTGTAGTTTCTGTTTGCAAATACCCGGCATCATTGCAGAAAAATACTTGTATCTCACTTCCTCACTGTAATAAATTGAGATTAAATTGAGATGTGGTTTTCAATGTGTTAATGGTTATAGGTACTGTTTTAGTTGAGTTTATGCACGTAACGTCATACTACATTACTTACTAGTAACCGTCATCTAAAGTCATTTGAAGACTTAATAAATCTATGAAATACTCTTTTTAACAGGAACTCAAGGAAAGTCGCCTTCTCCATACTGGGATCCTCTTGCTTATTTGATAGAAAAGTCCCACAATTTGGGTATGGAAGTTCATGCTTGGTTCAACCCGTACAGAGCACGTGCAGGTAGTTCGTCACGCAGCGGATTGGCATCGACACACATGGCAAATCGTTTTCCACAATACACCTATGGTTACGGTCACAATCTCTGGATGGATCCCGGCGCAAAGGTTGTGCAGGACTATATTATATCCGTATTTAGTGACGTTGTCAAAAACTATGATGTAGATGGGATCCATATTGATGATTATTTTTATCCGTATCCAGTCCAAGGTCAGGATTTTCCAGACTCCCATACTTATAACAGTTACAAATCAAACGGTGGTACTCTTTCTTATTCTAACTGGCGGCGAAATAATATAAACGACTTAGTTCAAAGGATTAATAATGAACTTCATGCCATGAAACCGTTTATAAAATTTGGTGTCAGCCCATTTGGAATCTGGAAACCAGGGCACCCAAGTGGTATCCATGGTCTCTCATCTTACGATGCAATCTATGCAGATGCAAGAAAATGGCTTGTGGAAGGCTGGTTAGATTACCTGACGCCTCAGTTATATTGGAAAATTGACCCTCCAGCACAAAGCTATCCCGCTTTACTTGATTGGTGGCTGCAGCAGAATTCTAAAAATAGACATGTTTACGCCGGAAATGACGTAGCCAAGATCGTTTCACATGGTTGGTCTGCTCAAGAGATATCTAATCAAGTCAAGATATCGAGAGATCATCGCAGTTTGTTAAGTTTGGGAAATATTCAGTTTAGTATGAAGTACTTCATTAGCAATAGCCATGGCATTGCGAATGCTTTTAGCGCATTATATACAAATAAAACACTTGCACCCGTAATGTCTTGGCTGAATGTGAGTCGACCTGTATCTCCTAGCAATGTCGCAACAGATTCAAGCTCTATTTTATGGTCTCGAGACACGTCCGGTGCTATTTACTACTGGGCAATTTATCAACAATTTGCTGATGCTTGGAATCTTCATACGGTAGTTAGGGCGGAAGTGACGTCAGTGTCCAATATAACCAAAGGTTTCTATGCAATAAAGGGAGTAAATAGGGCTGGTGTGGAAAGCTCACCAATTGTTGTTCAGGTCCATGGTAGTACTGCAATTGTCGGATAAGAAGAGGCAGCTTATGTTTAAACCTCTTTGGAGTTATATTTGTCAACCCAATTAAACTAAAGAATGAAATGTGTAGATAGCATTTCAGCTAAATTATTGTTTTAATCATTCAACTGTCTTAAAGACGTTTTTACAAAAGGTAAAGAAGGAAAATTTATATAGCATTTTCTTAAACTTTGCATGATTAAAAAGAAAATCATAATTGAAACATTTTGGAAAAAAATAAATTGGCTGTCACAGTCCTACGTGTTTAGTTACCTGCATCTGAAAGTGGGTTGTATTTGCTTGTTAGAGGCTGTTTTCATTAGCAGACGAAATTCTTTGCAACATAATTTGTAAATGTAAAATATTAGACATTTATTTACTTCTATTTTCTTCAAATTTTCTTCCCATTTCGGATTAAATTGCAGTAGATTAACTCATTTAAGCATAGCAAAATGTATGTTTAATAGAATTGTTATTTACTCTGCGTTATAAATGAAAAATAAAATAGAAAAGAATAAAGTGAAATAAAATAAGATGTCGGCATGGTTTATTTTTAGCTATCTGCTCTTGAAAAAGTTAGTTAAAATCTGACTTCAGGAACAGGTAGCTCAAAAAGTAGAACAGTGACCCCGTGTCGTCACCATTAATTTGTTTCAATTATAATTTTCTATAATCATGCAAAGTTCTTTAAAAAATTGTTTTTATTCCAAACAACTGAAGAAACTAAAGGAAACGTCTTTAAATAACATAAAATAACTAATATTTATTCAAATGTGATCGAGCTTTTGAAATGATTGTCCCAACTTCCCCTATGGCTCAACACAAAAATATTGAAAGAGCTTGGTTAAAATCAAACACAAACATATATTCAAATGTGAACGAGCCATCAGCAATGTGAAAGAGCTCTCGAAATGTGTTTGAGCCAACACAAACATTTTGTTAGTGCCAATCACCAAACCGGCAAAAACTTATAAGAAATATGCAAAATAAGTAAAAAAATAATTGATAATAACACCGAATTTTCCACTTTAATGTCATCCAATCAGAAATGATGTAGTTAATGAAAATTGAAAATGGTGCATTTTATATTTTTTACAAATAAAACGCGATGTAGCAGATATCGAAGAACCTATCTCGATCAATTTGGAGAATCTCTTTTATTCTGTCATATTTTAATGGTTGTGTTGGCTCCATCAAATTTGATAGGGCTCTTTCACATTACCGCTTGTCGATCGCCGATCACATTTGAATGAAGGTATTTTATTTTTAACCAATCTATTTGAACTATAAATACTTAAAATGTGTCTTCACGTAAATGAAAACACATAATTTGATATTTGGTAAAAGTACCAACATCATTTTGGGTTATTTCGTATCGGCATTGCGTTCAAAATAATGAGAAATATGTTGTACGTGGCACAGCATTCTCCGATTTTCGAAAAACAAGCATATTCTTTAAAAACGGTTATTTTTAGAAACTGTGTTTACTGTTTAGAAGGGATGTCTTGGCCAACTTTATTTTGTAAATGCTTACGAATGAACAGCAACCTATACTAAATGAAGTAAATGTTGCCCTGTATTAAATTATCAAAATAACAAACAAATGTACTGATATTTTTATGACCCATGTATTTGCGCTTGAAAAGAGGGGAAATAAATGCATATGATTGTTAATTAGGAAATTGAAAATGATTTGAAACGATTTTTTTGGTTGATGAAAAAAAATCCGTGCCTTGTATCAGTAATCATATCACGTTTTGAAATAAGGATAAATTGATACTTTTTTGTCTCCTTTTGCTCCCATTAAATCATGGTTAGGCTTTAAAAGTACGTTTACATTTTGCCAGGACCTGGTTTCATTTAACTTTTTTAAGTTTTTATTTGTCGTATATGAATATGAATGATATTAAAACATCTGAGTAAATGACTTTGTTTTCCAGATGACATAATCAGTCTTTACGGAATGAATGTAAACGACCTTCTTATAAATACTAAAACGTGTAAATAAAAATACATCTAATGAAAACCTGAGTTAAACAGAACAGAATTCTATTTCCGAACTATAAATTGCATACAAATTCAAGTGAAACAGGAAAAATTAGATCATATTTTTTTTATAATTAATTGGTTTATATATAGTTTATTTAGAATAAATAGACATTTATTATACATGTTGACAATTTGAATGATAATGCACCTAGAGCTTCTACAGCTGATGGTATTGATAGATCAACCTGTCTAATTCAAATTATGGCATTAGTGCATTACAATTAGAATTTCACCACAACGTATTTGTTAAAAGATCAAAGTAGGGATCTATCAATACCTTTCTTTCATTTCGATTAACTTGACGACCAAACTAAGACCCGAGTAAAGTTATTAGACTGTCAACAATGCCATAAATACGTACCTGACTATGTAACTTGACATTAATTTACTTCATAAAAATATATCTATACAGTGAATCATGTTAATAATTAGGTACAATTCATGAATATATATATATTTATGTATATAGTCGTTTTATTTCATTAGGTTTAAAATAATTTATCGTCAAACCAAGTATTCCATACCAACTACTTAGTATTCCATGCAAACGAAAAAGAAAAATGAAAACATCGCCCAACACTCCAAATTACGCTATAGATTTAAATGTATATGGGCGACAGTGATAATTGCAAGCTACACTCCCCTAGCACCGCAATGAGCAGAATTTTAAACATATAAATAATAAAATGTTATATAATTCATTATTAAATACCGTCCATACGGTGGTAAACCTGGAATCTTCATTTTGGCATTTTCGTGTTCTTCCAAGAAAGCGCGATATGGTACCTTGGACAGGAGGCGTGTGCCACTACCAAGAAAACAATAAGCACACAAAATAAAAAGGAATTTATTATTATATACAAAACTTCTTAAGCACTTTTTTCATGCACATTGACACGTTCAAAAGTACTGTACAGTATAACCAAATAAATGATACAATGTTTAAAAGAAAAACAACAACAAAAGAAAACAAATTAAAACATCAATATCGCTCAAGTCACAAATTCAAATCAAATATAGTTTAAAAAGACCCACATAAATAATAAAATTCAGGTGAGAACCTAAAAAATAATCAGTCCAAATAAAACCTCTTAAATAAGTGAGTTTTAAGTGCTCTCTTAAACAATGCTTGGGTATATAAATTTCTAAAGGAAATGCAAATATAGTTGTTGTTGTTGTAATTGATGTTATTGTTATTGTTTTTTATGTTGTTGAGCTGTGATTGTTGTTGTTGTTGTTGTTGTTGTTGTTTTGAAAGAAATATGTGTTGTAATGAGAGTCGTAATTCAATTTATTTACAATTCTAATGTATAATATTTGCAACGGAAGTCAAAAATATGACAAAAAATATGATTCTGTAAAACAATAAACCAAACAATGATTTACGATAATTACTTTATTATGTAAAACATATAAAAAAAACTGTCATTGAACAATCAAAGGTACACCCAATGTTATTAACCGACAAGTCATTCAATGTTGTAATTGTGGTTAGAACATGCATTGCTCACTCACTGCAGTACGTTCAAACATGCATGTTTTCAAATATGTTTATAATGTTATACATAATTATCACGACTTCTAACTATCATTTTCATAAAAAAAGATATTTGCTATAATAATTGTAAACGCCTTTTCGACAATAATTAAATGATTAACGTTAATTAAGGGAGCTAAGGTGAGGTCAAAAAAGCTAAAAACATAAAAATTTAAAAATTCTTACAAAAATCAAGTGAAGCATTTATAATGGAAAAATCTGCAAAGAATAGTCAAAATATGCTATAATTAATTAAATTATTTTTTAAGGGGAGGGGCGATTCTAGGCCCGATTTGAGTAAAAAGCGTTGCAACGCTTTTCATTTTTTTGTGTTACTTTGCACAATAAAAATGATGGTTCTGTAACCACAAGGAAAGGGAATGATCTGAAAATTTGCACAAAAGTTATTGATTTAGACATACATAAAATGGTACAAAAATATTGAAAATATTTCAAGTACCGTCATGTTTAGGTAACTGTAAAAGAACAAGAATGTCTTTTTTAAAATGAAGAAGTTACCTTATCCGCGGCCATTCGTGCCAGTGTTGAAGAGTCTACGGCCTCGCTTTCGTAGAAATTCATCGATTTGAACCGAGGTACATTAACGGCTTATTTCATACTAAGGGAAGTAACTATGTGTGTTATCCATTTTTGAACAAGGAAATGTCGTAATTTATACTATGGGAGATAACTATTTCTATAAGGTGTAACTGTTTTGATTGGCTTAAAAATATGTACGAAAAACTAAAATAAAATATGTATGCAAAACTAAAAAAAAATATGTATGCAAAACTAAAATCAAATATGTATGCAAAACTAAAAAAAATATGTATGCAAAACTAAAATAAAATATGTGTGCAAAACTAAAATAAAATATGTATGCAAAACTAAAAAAAATATGCATACAAAACTAAAAAAAAAAATATGTATGCAAAACTAAAAAAAATATGTATGCAAAACTAAAAAAAATATGTATTCAAAATAAAATAAAATATGTACGCAAAACTAAAAAAAAAATATGTACAAAAAACAAAAAAAAAAGTATCAAAAAAAAAAAAAAAATTTGCAAATGTCACTTTTATGCATATAATTTATTTATTAAATATAATGTGCACAAATATTTGCAGTACACATTTTACATATTCTTCGATGGTTGAAAATTGTTTTATTTGCAAAAGTATATGCATATATAATTTTTTGCAAGTGTGGTATACACACGGTAACAATGTCAATCACAAAACATACAGGATCTTTAATGTCACAACCGATTTTTTTGTACGTTTTTCATAAATTTGTTGTTCAAGCATTATTTTAAAACGGTTAATGGGATCGACTTGCTTGTGAGTACTTTTTTTGCCATTCTTGGCATACAAGTTAAATCAAATTATACTAAATATTTGTAGAGTACAAAAAGTACAAGCTTTTCATATTAAGCCCTTCTTGCCACCTGTCAACAATTACAGAATATTTTGCTCATTTGTTTTTATTTATTATTCGTGTTTTACTATACAATTGGGTTTGCATGATGATGCAGTTTTAACTTATCACGGACTAATACTGTCAATTTTAATTTTTTCTTCTAGTTTCCCCATTTTCCAACGTTCAAAATTTGACATTTCATACTAGAGTATACAAAAATATAATTGCCCTTTAATAGAGGTCAATAAAATTTGTAAAATGTGGATATATCAAGTATGTTTATATCATATTAATATCTATTTACTTGAAGTATTTACTTGAAATAACCTCTGATTTTACTACTGTTAAGTTGTCTAAATACTAAAATAGTCTGAATGTTGAAATAGTCTAAATACTTAAAAAGTCCGAATGTTAAAATAGTCTGAATGCTTAAAAAGTCTAAATACTAAAATAGTCTGAATGTTAAAATACTTTAAATGTTAAAATAGTCTGTATACTGAAATAGTCTTAATACTTAAATAGTCTGAATGTTAAAATGGTCTAAATACTTAAATAGTCTGAATGTTAAAATAGTCTTAATACTTAAATAATCCGAATGTCAAAATAGTCTGAATTCTTAAATAGTCTGAATGCTTAAATAGTCTAAATACTTAAACAGTCTGAATATTAAAAAACGACTGTAAATGTTAAAAAAATCTGAATGCAAAAATGGTCTTAATACTTAAATAGTCTGAATATTAAAATAGTCTAGATACTTAAATAGTCTGAATGTTAAAATAGTTTAAATACTAAAATAGTCTGAATGTTAAAATAGTCTAAATACTAAAATAGCCTGAATGTTAAAATACTACATACTAATCTAAATGTTAAAAAGTCTGAATGCTAAAATAGTTTAAATACTTAAATAGTCTGAATGTTAAAATAGTCTAGATACTAAAATAGTCTGAATGTTAAAATAGTCTAAATACTAAAATAGTCTGAATGTTAAAATACTACATACTAATCTAAATGTTAAATAGTCTGAATGTTAAAATAGTCTAGATACTTAAATAGTCTGAATGTTAAAAAAGTCAAAACAGTCTGAATGCTAAAATAGTCTTAATACTAAAATAGCCTGAATGTTAAAATAGTCTACCTCTCTGGCGTGGGTTTGAACCCCGGGAGATGCTTTGGTAGTTTAGCGCGGAGGAAGGTAGTCTAGTACTGGTGTAACTCTTCAGGAACGATGGTTAGGAAACTACCCGCCTATATGACTGAAATACTGTTGGGAAAAGGCGTAAAATGAAACAAACAAACAAACAAACACAATAGTCTAGATACTAAAAAAGTCTGAATGCTTAAATTGTCTAAATACTAAAAAATCTGACTACTTGAATAATCTTAATACTAAAACAGTCTATATACTTAAAAGTCTGAATACTTAAATAGTCTACATTTCAAATACTTAAAACACTAAAGAGCTAAAAGTTCATCATTCTTATTAATCGCATGAAAAGCATTTTATGTGGGTGCAACACCTTCAATTTAAAATTTATTGTAATAATGAGTAAACCAGCATTAACAGGTTCGCCAGTCTTAATAAATCAAATTTAGGTAAAATCTAAACATGTAATCATACTAACACTAATTTTATAAATATATTTTAAGAATGTGTTTTCTGAAACAATAGCACCAGGATAGTTATTCAAAACAATAAATTGTACCATTGTTAAAAAAGATGCTATAGATTTTGAGCAAACTGACCTGATACTTTTGACAAATTTAGTTTAGTTTATACAATTTTTTTTTAGTTCGATTGTGTTGGAAGCTATAAGCTTATTGAAACACTCTCGAATCCGTTCCTGGAACCAACCAGTACGAAACAATGAATGTAAAGTTTCTTGCTCAAGGGAACAACGGCTTGCCCTTGACGGGGTTTGAACCCATGCGGCCAGCAATCCTTAGATTACTAGTCCGATGGTATAACCACTCGGGGCACGCCCACTCATTGACAAATTTGAATTTGGATTAAAGACAGTTGTTGGAAGGATATTAAAATTGTTGAAAACAATTTAAACTCACTGCAGGGGCGTAACTGAGTAATTTTGATATGTACTCTCTAAATAGGGGGTCCGGGGCATGCTCCCCCAAGAAAATTTTTGAAAAAGGAAGCGATATCCTGGCATTTCGTGACTATCAAGAGGCATTCGGAACTGCCTCGGCTATTATCTATAATAACGGAAGGGCCGAGTAGTTGCGATTGTATCTAGAGGCTATACTTACAACATATTGGTAATGATTTCAAACTATTAATTTTGAAATATGTAAAATGAACAAGTACGTAACATATACCATTAAACTTTTTTTATATTTATAGTCGATTTTTTTGCAGCAAATATTTGTAATTTTGCAACCTTCAAATTACACTAATTTGTTACTAAAAGATGAGAACAAAAATCAAACATACAAGGTGACGTTGGTAGAACGCAGCACCCTACACAATCCAGCCACACCAGCAGGGCACCCAGAAGGCACCCAACTAAAACCAGAAGAGGACACAAAACGGCCGATACGGGAAATAAAGAGTAAAGGTTTAGCGAAAAGATTACTGCGGGCAACCCGCTTGCCGGCTAAGAAGCACGATGCGCCCAAGAATAGGACCTTAAGTTTTTCGTAACTTTCCTCTGCTGACTCTGTATAAGATATCGCAATATACTGTAAATCATTCTAAAAGATATTATTGTATACTGTATATGTTATGAATTGAAATTCGAAAGAGTTTGTAAGCCTATACGATTATAAGTGACCCGACCACACTAACCCCTCTGTTTTTATCACTTTTTTAGAACTTTTAGCGCATTGTGTTTTTTCGACATACAGGATTTAATTTAAACAGAATAGTGCTATGCATATCATGCCAACTAATTTAACTTTTACCTTCTTTAAGCATGGCCCAGCTGGATGCACAGGTCGTTTTTAAAAGTTACAATCACTCTATATCTATATGTTAACAAACTAGTGTGTCGCTATAAACGTTTCCAGGATAATCATTCAATGTCCATTGAAGTAGATGAGCTATGGTTTTATTGCCATATTTGAAGCTTATTACTCAACATTTGAGAGTATTTACTTTTCTTGGAACTTGCTGATGACACCAGTAGAAGAGTATAAGGCCGGCTCAGTATGAACGACCTTGTAATCTGACTTATGAACACATCTGCGGATGTTTTAAATTCAAAATTTTAAATGTTGAATTCTGCTTAAGCCGGTGCTAGGACGGTAACTTGCACTTTCCAGTACCGCAATCAAACCGAGCCTGCAACATTGTAAATTTTGCAGTGTTGGGCTTTCTTTAGGGATTCTGTTTCTTCTCTGTTTTTGCTCTTTATGAACTGCAAAGTATAGCAAATTCAATTTTATCTGATTAGCACTAAACAATTTAGTGTACTAAGGTTAAACATAAATTATATAGTATGTTTAGTCTTGCTTTTTGCCGCCGCCGAAACATACTATTATATCAATTACTTACACCCAGTCAACATGATAAGACTGTTTCACAAAATCTGATTCTTTCCACCTGCGTTCCTTTGTTTCTATAATTTTTAATTAGAAAATAACATCATATTTTTAGAAAAGTACGTATTTGAGGTTAGCTGTATTGACGGTAAAAATAAAAAAGAAAATCGTGTCCTAACAGGTAATTAAATCATTAATTGACACATGTAAATAAATTACAAAACAATAAAAAACCTAAAAATTTAAGAGTATAAATAAGGGTCCCGTTTCCTCTTGTTCAGTCATATTGGAAAGTAATTCGATATTTACACATATAATACCGGTAAGAATTTCTTTATTCAATCTGCACTGTTCAACATATCTTTTATTGAAATAAAAGATGACAATAACTAAAAATACTATTTGCATCGATAATTTAATATGTTCAGAAGGTAAGATAGAAACTTCGAAAAATTTATTTAGGAAATCTCATTTGCCGGAAGGAGTTTCTTGGGAAAAAATCGTAAAGTCCTACTCAATCCGAAAAATTTATCTGTTTGTGATTTATTATGCAAATGAAAATATTATAAATAAAATATTGCTTAAACTAAAACTTTGCTGTGATTTTATAATTCTTGTTCGGACGAAGTCCGTCTGTTATCGATTTGACTTCCTGTAAAATTAACAGGGAATGACTGAATATAAGAAGAATTTTCAATTCAAACTGAAATCGGTGAATCTCATTGGTCATTTTAAAATAAAATGTAAAGGACAGTTCTTACCTTTCTAAATAAATGTAAAGGATAGTTCTTATTACCATTCTAAAAGATAGCTCTATGATAAAATGTAAAGGATAGTTTTGTCACAATAAAATAAAAATGTAAAGGATAGTTCTCAAATAAAATGTACAGGACTGAGATAAGTTCTTTAACTGTTAGGTTAATTTGTAAATGATTACAAGATCTATAAAGTCAAACGGAAAACAAGTAAAAGGACACCTTGAATAGAAGCCGTTCTTCTTTGAAAAATAATCAATATGCTATTATTTAATTTCAATGTTTACAAAATGGGTATTTTCTTAATAGCTACACAAGAAATAATTATCATGTCATTATTATGCAAGCATTGCTAACATTTTTTTTTTCTGAATTGAAAACTAAAAAAATAACAAACTTTTGTATGTTAAACAGATATACTTCAGCCGAGTATCTTTATAAAAGATACGTCTTGTTTGGTATGATGGGACTGGCATTGGTTTTTTTGTGTTTTTTTTTTCTCGAGAAAATGGTTCCAGTTGATGAAGGTCTAGACCAATAACTTTTGTGTAAAATTTCAGATCATTCGCTCTCTCTGTTTTTCCAAAATGACTATTCCATGATGATCTATCTAAAAAAATTTAATTTAATTTTTTTTCCGGCGGTATGAGGGAGGTGGGGGGCTCATTGCACTCCCTGAAACTACACTTTAAATTTGTAAAAGGTTTTAAACGAGGTCTAATAAAGTTAAAAATTCACTTATTGTTTTATCAAGTATTTTCAAATGAATAGATAGATATGTCCGCTCATTGAATAAAATTAAAATTGATATCTGAGCAGAAATGGTCACTTGAAATTTATGATAAATATAATGAATATCTGATGGCATGGTTTGAAAAATATAGCTCTATATTGTTGCATTTACTTTAACACATTTGTCACACTTTCGGAGAATGATCATAATTGCATTAATGCATAAAACACATAAATGAAAAAAAGTTTTTAAAGTTTTTTTAACATTTTCTTACTTTGGCACATTGTGCGTAATATGTACGATATATGCGGTATCATTTCAAAGGCTACATGTATGCATTTTACATCAACAAACCTCTATTTACAATTAAACAAGGCATGCATAACGTAAACATAATAACCTTTCTCTTCTTCAGCGGTTTGAAAAAATAAGAATCGACATGCATAAATTTCTAAAAAAAAAAATATTATGGCAGTTATTTATTCATAATTATATTTCTAGGGAATGGTATAATTGTTTCTGCAAGAAGAAAATTTATTTACACCTAGTTAAAAAGCTAAATGAACTTATTTTACAATTTTAATTAATATAGCCTGCAAGTGGCTACTGATTCTACATCTGCGACAAGTGCAGACCAAAATCAGCCAGCACATCATTGTTGTCTGATCATGGTCTGCATTGATCCCTATTCAATCAGAACATATTCGGAAATTTCCCTTAAAAATGATGAATGTTTTTGTCCAAATAGAAAGAGTCTCTCTTGAAGTCCATTTAAGATATGAAGCGTGTTCAAAGTAAATATAACGATAGTCAGATGAATAGGAATCTCGCTAGATATAAAAAAATTCATTGTTAAGAGAAAAAAGTAAGCTTTTAAAGTTAAAAGATTGCCTTTTTGTTATCGTTCCTTTAATGGATTTGTTCACATATAATTCCCTGCAATCCGAACTCCAAACAGTGATTTTATTGAGCAATAAAATCACAGTATTGGATATATTACATGTATTTCTTAAACAAATGCATAAAATAAAATAAAACAGTTTAAATTGTAACGTTTCTTTTATTTATAAATGAACCATATAAAACCTAGAATTATATACAACGAGCTTCCATTATTTTAACAAGTTTACTTTCATATGTAATTACTAAGAAATAAGAATTCGTTCAGGCCAAATAAGTATAAAGACTAACTCTTTGAAGATATGATATTAACAGCTACCAAATCTTTTATTTTATAAATACTAACAATTTTGCCACATAACATATCTTCTGCTTATAGGATAACACAATCAAACAAAATATGAAGACCTTGTTAGTATTTCTATCCTTAATTCTGGCTGCCTTGGCAACAATACCAGGTAAGATTTTTCAGTCATATTTATGCTTGTTTTAAATTGTCCTACGTTTTCAACAGTGTAAGTTTATAGCTTCCAAGCCAATTACGCAGTCAAAACAGTTATTACAGTCTTTTGTAGTTTATCACTTCCCTGGATACATAGGAAACTATAACCAAGGCTCGTTCCGATGGAACCATTCACCCTCAGGTTGGGATTTCCCAATCGTCTGTCAAACCCAATGATAGATTCTATAACATGTTCTTGTCTTTTATTTACATATTAACCTGAGTATGAGAGAACTGATCTATAATTTAAACAATAAAGACTTCGAATTAAACAATATATATCTTAAAACTTATTTCTCTCTAGGTTATGGCGGTATGTCAGGTGGTCATGGGGGAATGGGATATAGAAGGATGAGAGGCGGTTACATGTACGGGTCCGGAGGGGGATATCCAGAAATGGGATACGGCGGTGGTATGCGAGGTGGATATATGCGAGGTGGATATATGAGTGGCGGATACGGTGGTGGTGGATATCCAGGAATGGGATATGGCGGCGGTATGCAAGGTGGATATATGAGTGGCGGATACGGTGGTGGTCAAGGAATGGGATACGGCGGTGGTATGCGAGGTGGATATATGAGCGGCGGATACGGTGGTGGTCAAGGAATGGGATACGGCGGTGGTATGCGAGGTGGATATATGAGTGGCGGATACGGTGGTGGTCCAGGAATGGGATACGGTGGTGGTATGCGAGGTGGATATATGCGAGGTGGATATATGAGCGGCGGATATGGCGGTCCAGGAATGGGATACGGCGGTGGTATGCGAGGTGGATATATGAGTGGCGGATACGGTGGTGGTGGTGGTGGTGGATATCCAGGAATGGGATACGGCGGTGGTATGCGAGGGGGATATATGCGAGGTGGATATATGATTGGAGGTCGAAAGGGAGGTAAGCCTAAATTTGAGCATTATATTAACACATACAAGGTCACAAAATAATCGTCTGTGACAGAATGTTTGATATAAACAAGTGGTAGGATTGTGATGAAATACCAGTTACATGGTTAGAGCTTTAAATGCAATATAAAGTAAGCACGTTTTCTCATTTTTATGACAAGATTACAGTGTCAATTGCATGTATTTCAAGAATATACATATTAAATGGGAAATCTTCTTCATATTACAAAATGTACATGGTACATGTAGTTCTTATCCACCATACCTTTATTTTGATATAGTTGGTTAAAGATTAATTATTTGATGGCATTTCCATCTAAAGTACTATTGTTGGAGAATGGTATATGTATTTAGTATAGTAAACAACTAAAATGGTTCTATATCTTAAACTTATAACATCCGTGAAAGAATGAGGAACTGTGTAAGTGTCATTTGTTTTAGCTAAATTGACATATTTGTTGAAAGCATAACGCAGAAGAAAATATTTGTCTACATTACTCACCTTCAGAACGCTCTTGACATTATAGAAAAGTGTCAGTCATGCTGCTCTTCTAAATCACCAATTATTTGCATGCCGTTTTCAAATATTGTATTTATCTTTCAATTATATTGTATTACGCAATAAAATAAAACTTAACATGCAAGAAAACAAATCACAAATACTACTGGCTGTAAAGAGATTTCTTACTTAAGCTTATTATTGCAGGATACAAGAAGAACCGTCCAACACCATATTAAAGACGCTGATGAAATCAACACGCTCACAAGGGGGAATGTTGCTGCACCTTTTGTTGTGCAGTTATGGAATATTCTCTCAAATTGTACATACATGTATAGTTAAACATGCAATTTCATAAATAAATTATTTTATTTGAATATACATCTGCGACATATACTTTTTCCCATTCCACTATATTGCCATTGACAACGACCCAAACTGTAGATATAGTTTCATACAAACATTTCATTCTTTGTTTGTGCGTTTGTGTGTAGCCTACGTTTATCTGTCTCTTATTATAATCTAGTAAAAATGAATATATTCAGGCCCAAATAAAATATTAATGTAAGTCTGAAAAAATTATTTAAACAGCTTCACTGGGCATTTTGTATATAGGGCCATACCGAACCTATTGCAACAGAGGGACATCGTGCATACGAGCAACTTTGTTATTTTTCTAAGCAAACCGTATTGCCTTGTTATAAAATTCATATGTGTTCAATGAGTTTATAGAAAAACAAGCAATTATATCCATATATAACAATAAAAAAAACTAAGCATAAATTAAAAAAAACATAAACCTTTAGTATTACCAATAGTTTGTTGCAATATATTATTGTAATACAGTAGGTTATAACACAAACATATGAGAATTCACTAGGATATAAATAGGACTATTCCTTGATAACTAGTTTTGATACGGGAGCAAATGTTTGGACCCTGAGTGTAAGAAATAGACAAAATAAATTCAGAAGCCAATAGTATGTCCCAGTACTAAACTTGAAGCTCGCCATACAAAAAAAGTTTATAGTGTAAATATGAAACCTTTTCTGGATAAATCTGGTCTTGGAAAAGGCCGTGAAGGAACACATTGAACTCGTTTCAGACATAACATTTTCTGGCGATGCCCCAGAGTGTTTTGGTAATGTGTGTAGCTGAGCGTACCTGAAAGAACTGGTGCTTTATTTGAGATTTTTCCATCAAATGCAACCTTTTCCACGGGCGGAACTTTCTTGAAATAAAAATTAAGTGTTTCATCGGCTAAATTGCCAAGTATGTTGTAGTATTTTTTATTTATTTCAGCATTATTTCATTACTAATACTTTAAGTCAACATGAACAATGCCATTCAATATTGTTATTAAACATAGCCATTTAATATATAGAAGTTTCAATGATAGAAATTTCTTCTGAGGCATGGTTTAAATGGTCTCAGTTATACAAGTACAGAAGAAAAAGAAAACATACGCTTGTTCGACATTTGAGATTTCAGCCATGTTCAATTGTCATATTTAGCTAATCATATTCCATCATATTCAGTACTAAACTCAGTTTAAGTTTTCTATAAACCAATGCTCATACTATGCAAGCAGTTAACTTATAACAAAATTAGGAACAGCAAATAATCTCTTAAGCCTGCAGAGGACCGTTAAGGACTGCTAAAGACCCATGGGAACTGCCAATGCCTAAGTGGGGCACAAAGACTGCTGGGGAGGCACAAAAGACCCTTACGTGTCTCTAAATGTTTTGATATTGCTAGAAACGTTTATTTGAAGCTATTAAATAAATATTTTAACAAAGATTGTAATGTAAGTAATATAAATGAGCCGCGTCACGACAAAACCAACATAGTGCGTTTGCGACCAGCATGCTGTTCGCTTACCAACTCTATTTCAAGTAGAGAAACTGATAGCGAACAGCATGGATCCTGATTAGACTGCGCGGATGCGCAGGCAGGTCTGGATCCATGCTGGTCGCAAACGCACTATGTTGGTTTTGTCATGACGCGGCTCAAATTATGTTTTCTATCAGTTAAAGGCTACTGAAAACTGAAAAAGCACTTAAGGCTGCTAAGGTGGTACTTAATGAACTAAAACTCAACATCACCAATGTCGCGGCATCACTTATTTCACAGTAATAGCATATTTCTATGTGACTATTGTTAAAATAGTTCAGAATAGACAGATTTAAGTCATACACCTAAACAACAAAGTTTTTGTGCAAAATATTCTAAATCTGTAGATTTTTAAGTAAAACAGAACAACATTTTACTCATTTCTGCAAAAAGCCACAATAGTCCATTAAAATGCACATGTATCAGTATCAGTGTTTGGACACCTCATCCCCTACCTGACCCTGGACTTCTACTACAACCCTGGAAAAAATAATTCAACACTCTAAGGCTAACTATAAGGTACCAAATACAAAACCACTGATAAAATTATATATAAATAAATCCACTATCAAATTTAAAATTATAGTTATATAAAGCATATAACTATAATTTTGATAGTGGAAAAATTATTTTTTTTATAATTTTATCGGTGGTTTTGTATTTGGTACCTTATAGTAAGCCTTGTAGTGTTGAATTGTCAGGGTTGTAGTAGGGGTCTAGGGGCAGATAGGGGTGGGGTATCCAAACACTGATATTGCCACCTGTGTTAAAATGTGTGCATACATCTGAAACAATCATCGTTTTCTTAATGTTCTTGTTTGTTAAAAAAATAGTTACAAAGT